TTTTTTTCTTAAGATTTTGTTTATTCATTTGAGACACAGAGATACAGAGAGAGAGAGAGCATGAGCAGGGGGAGAGGCAGAGGGAGAGGGAGAAGCAGGCTCCCCGCTGAGCCAGGAGCCCAACATGGGGCTCAATCCCAGAACCCCAGCATCATGACCCAAGCTGAAAGCAGACACTTAACCATCTGAGCCACCCAGGTGCCCCCTGACATCTTACTTATATCCATACTGATTATGTCCCTGGCAGTCAGTACTGCCCTTTATTCTCTCTTTTGAGGTGAGTTTTTTCATCTTAACATTCTGCCAGAGAAGAATAGATGAACAAGGGAACAGAAGACTAAAATGACAACAATGACCCCAGAGAAATATACACTAAGCAAATCAGAAGAGACCTGAACAAAAAAAAAAATTAAAATTAAAAAAAAGAGAGATTATAATCAGACAGGTGAACAGGAGAGAGAAATACACTGGATCCTGTGTGTACTTTGGTCTGTTTGTTAGAAAACTAGATCCCAAAATTATAAGGAAAGAATAACATATATGTACAAAAATAAAATTAAATACAACGAAAGGATAGAATGTCACTGTAAAAATAAAAATTAAAAGACAAAAATAGAAAAAAGAATGCATATCAACAGACAGGTGAACAGAAGAGAGCAATATACTATATCTTGAGTGTATTTTGCTTGGTTTGTTAGAAGAGACTACATCTCAAAATTGTAAAGAAAGAAAAACTTACATATATATACAAAATAAAATTAAATACTTTGAAAGGATAGACTATAACTGTAAAGATGAAAATTTAAAAAGACTTTAACAACAAGAAAGAGAGAAAGAATATGATCAGACAAGTGAAGAGAACAGAGCCATACACTAGATTCTGGGGTTATTTTGGTCTGTTAGTTAGAAGAAACTGTATCCCAATGTAGTAAAGAAAGAAAAACATATATATATGAAAATAAAATCAAATACAATGAAAAGATAGAATGTAATTGTAAAAATAAAAATTAAAAAACATTTTAAAAAAAGAGTTGATACTATAAGAAATTCGTTGAAAAAATAAAGAGAAAAAAACATTAAAGTTTAAAGACTAAAGAATCATGGGGAAAACACCATGAATTGTATATACTATTTTCCCAGTGACGGAGTTTTGCAGTTCTCTATGATTGGTAAACTTGGTCTTAGCTAATGTTCTTGCTGATCTTCTGGGGGAGGGGCCTGTTGCACTGATTCTCAGGTGTCTTTGCCCCAGGCAGAATCGCACCATCCTTGCCAGGAGGGCATGCTAATTAATCTGCTCCAGATTGCTCTATGTGGCTTTTGTTCCCTAAAGGCATTCTGCAGGGCTTTAGAGGTTGAGAATGAATGGCAGGCTCCCAATCTCCAGCCCTGGAGCCAAGAGCTCAGGGCCCCACTACTCAGTGCACCCTCAGGGAAAAGCAGTCAATCACTCCTGTCTCCCTGGTCTCCGTCCACTTGCTGTGCTCACCCAGCCTATGACTGAGCATCAGGCACACGACTGGGTTTCCAGTCTCCAAACCCTGCAGACTCCTGCGGCTCATAACCATGCCGCTCATCCCAGGGTAGGAAGGAGATCTCGCTGGTTCTGCCACTTGCTGCACCCCTGCTTGGAGAGCAGTCCCCCAACCATGCTGTGGTTCATGGTTTATGGCAACCTCAAGCTGAGAGCCCACGCCTGGGCTCACTGATTGCAGCTGGCTTCCCTGCTCTGATGCCTAGGAACTATGCCATACTCAGGCACCTCCGATCTTCTGTGACCCCGGGGATCTTAAGATTAAGATTCCGTTCTGCTTCACCACCTGAGCACCTTCAAGGCAGGGATGTCCTTTACTGGAGCAGACTTCTAAGAGCTCTGATTTTGTACTCCAGTGCTATATCACTTTCTGGTGCTGGCTGATGGAGGCTCCCCCCGCCCATGGTTTATCTTCCCATATATCACCTCAGATTCACTTCGTCTGCACCTCCTACCTTGCAGAAAAGACAAGCCACTAATTATGGGAGCACATATTTGAAAGGCTTAATTGATAAAATTTCACCAACCACAGTATGAGTCCTATAATTCAGTAAGGAAAAGAAAAACCCAAGAAAGATGGGGGAGACTTGAACAGAAGAGGGAATGCAATAGGAAGTGAAAAGATGTTCACCATGATGACAGCCAAAGAAACTCAAATTAAATCACAAGAAGATTGGGAACAACTTGGCCACATAGAATGTGGTTGGGGCCCAAAACACTTCCTCACCGAGAGATAAAGAGCCCAGAGGGAGTCTGCTGGGCTTATTGCCTTTTGTGGAAACATTTTTCAGGTTCCCTGAGTGCTACTTTGTTCTCCTTAAATGCATAAGCCAGTGACCCTCAGACACACCCCATTTAAGGCCAGGGTTCTCCTGCAGGACAAGTGGATACATGCAGCCAACAAGCCCACATGGGCTGCTGAGTAGATGCATCGGCCATGGGGGACGGATGTACTGCCTGGATCCCTCTCTCTCTCCTTCTGCTGTAGGTAAACTCTGCAACCCTTGAGTCTGTGTGCATGTTGTCTGTTCTCAGTGACCTTGAAACCTGCATGGGCCTCTTTCCTGCTCACACTTACCTGCCTTGGTTGCAAAGCCTGGCTACCATGTGGATGGTGAAACAAAGCACTATTTCAAACTGGCAAAAGTTAACAATATAAATGTCTGACACACCAAGTAGTCACACACAGAGGCAGGGCAATAGGAGCCCTCAGTCATAGCTGATGGGAGCTAAGTGGGGCCACTAACGGGTTTGGAAAATCATTTGGCATTATCTAGATGGTTGGGTGTGCACAAACCCTAAACCCCAGCAATTCCATCCCTAAGTATGTACCCTAGTGAAATCATTTCACATATGTACTAGGTGACCTGTACAAAAATGTTCATGGCAGCCCTGGCTGTGAAATAGCCCCAGATGGGAACAACCCAAAACCGTCAACAGAAAAATGGATAAATCAGATGTGGTGTATCTTATCTTCTCTCATCGGAAGGGCTGTGTGTCTGGGTAGCGTATCCAAAGGCATGAAGGGCTGGAGCTTCTCTTGGTCGGGGTCCTCACAAGGAGGGAGGACACCCCGAAGCCAGCACTGAGCATGGTCAGGAGCAGGGACACCTCTAGGATGACCAGGAGCAGGAAGTGGACCTTGCTAAGCAGGGACCTGTGGGGGACACAGTGACAGACACTGAGCTGCCTCCTCAAGAGGAGGCCCCAGGTCCCTCCTTTCTGCCCCCTGGTCTCTCTGTTCCAAGACCCTGTGGACCTAATAACCACATTTGGGCCAGACTTGGATATCTGGATATACTCACTCCCAACCCCTTAGCTCAGCAGCTGACTTTGGGCATTAAGTAGGCCAATACTGAGAGGAGAGAGAGGGTTTGCCTGGGCAGGACCTGGTTTCCACAAACAGCTGCTTTATCCTAAGCCCCGCCCCTTCTTTTGCCATCCATACTCCCAAGAGCTCAGTTCAGGTTGGGACTGTTTTTGGTGATTTCTCACAGGTCAAGGTCTACATAGGCTGGTGCTACATAGGTTCTTGGTGAATATTTGGTGAGTGGATAGAGAAAGGAAGGAATGTTGTATTGAGAGGCTGCCCTGGGGGTTCTCAGGAGGGCAAGGTCACCAAAAAGGAGGCCCTCCCTCACCTTGGGCTCCCCTGGCCAACCGGGCTGTACTTGGCGCTCTCTGCTAGCAAGTTAGGAGTCCTATGGAGTGCTTTCCCGTTCTCCCCAGCAAATCACTTCACACATCTACTTGTGTGTGTGATATATTTCATTGCATTTATTCAAGCATGTATTTATTTATTTATTTATTTATTTTTACCAGTTTTGGGGAAGAGGTAGGTTTGGGGTCAGAAGTTCTTCCTCCTCTAGTCTGAGTGGCGGTGTCTCTGGACAGGATATCGATGCTCAAGGAGGGCCGCAAGTTGTCTTCATCAGGCCGACTCTGTGTCCCACAAACTGCCCACTGAGGCCTGTTGACCCAGAGGACGACACTGAGCATAATCAGAAACAGGGGCACCTTCAGGAGAATGAGGAGTAGGAAGTGAACGCTGCCAAACAGGGACCTGTAGGAGGGACACGGAGACTGGCAGGTGTTTCCTGCTGGACATGAGGCCCAGGCTCTGCCTCTCTCCCACCTGCCTTTGTGCTCAGGTCCCGTGGCCTCGAAAGTCAATATCAGCGTCAAAGCTGATTGGTACCAGGGCCGGACGGCCCCACGCTGAGGGCCCCAGGCTCCTGTCCGTCAGCTCAAGCCTCAACCTTGAGCATCCAGACGCAGCAGACACATGACGATGTGGTGGTGAGGAATGGGAAAAGGAGACGAGGGGACGCAGGAGGATCTGGCTCCCAGAAACTCTCAGAGTTCACAAAGCAGAGGGCATTCAGGGACTGAGCTTCTGGGGCTGTCACCTGCCCCTAACCAGACCCAGGCCTGGCCAGAGTGTGGCAAATCCCCATTCAACAGCATCCCTATCTGCTCTGCAGATGGACATATCATAATCCAGGACCAGAGAAGCATCACCTTCCCCATTAAGCACTTCAGCATCCCTCATCTCACTGGAAACAGGAAGGTTGGAATGTTGGCACAGGAGCGAGACCTCAGGTCCCACCCCCAGGCAGTGCAGCCCCCCTGCCTTGTCCATCCTGCCAGAAGACTGCAGAAGTCAACTCAGGAAGTTTGACAACAGGGACACACAACCCTGTGAGCACAGGAGGGTGGCACAAACTCCCTGGTCCTGATAGAGATGCACAGCCCCGAGCTCTCCATGTGGACACCAGCCTCAGAGTCCTTGAGTCCCATAGCTCTTGTCAGGCCCTGGGCTAGTGGCAGGGGCCTTGGATGTCACACTCCCACCTTCCCTCACTCTCATGGGCTCTCACACACGCATGCACACACATGCTCTTTCACACTCAGGCACACTCCCACCCACCCACCCTTCCCACACACTCACACCCACATAGCCCACTTGGTCCCGAGTCTCTGAGGCCCAAATACCAGGCCTGGCTCTTTTCTCCTGAGTTGAGATTTGCTCAGACGCTCTGCAAGGATTAGCTCACATCTCTTCTTCCGTGGCAGCAAAGAAAAGCAGGGTCTTACCTGGGGGAAACAAACACTTGAACCTGGAAAAAAAGGTCAGGCAGGAAACCATGGAGTCCTTCTTCATGCAGCATTGTTACAATCCCACACCTGTATTTTCCTGCATCATCTGCAGTGAGGTTCTCCAAGGTCACTGTGAAGGTGAGGTCTCCAGAATGGTCCACGATGGACACGCGGCCACTCCTCATCTTTTCCTCAGACCCTCTGGCGGCCACAATCTGGTTCCAAAGTGGCAAGCATGGTTGTCGGCACCAGTATTTGGTAAATGTCTTGTATTTCTCCTCGTACCGACACTGCACTCTCAAGGATGCCCCCACGATTCCCATCACAGTGCTGGGGCCACTCAGAGACAAAGAGCCTGAAAGACACCATCAGTATTTTCTTCATCTGAAGAGCCTAGGCTAGAGGGGCCTTGGGGTTCAGGTCCCCTGGAAGCCCAGACGTCACCCTGAGGCTGGAGGGGGGAGGAGCAGGAACCAGGGAGGTATGGGCTGTTGGCAGCTACAAGGGGGGAGACCTGAGGAGATGCCTGGTATGTGATTCTGGGACTCAAGAGGCCATGCCCAGCCTGTGTGTGCTCAGCCAACAGGGGAGAATGTGGGGGGAGAAGATTTTGGGTGGCCCCAGACAGGTTCTGGATCCTTAGACGTGTCAGTCCTGAGAGGAAACAGCTGTGCCCATCAATCACCAAGAACTGAATGACGCCACTGAGTATACTCTGAATAAATGGATGGATGGATGCATGGATGGCTGGACCGATAGACAGATGGAATAGGAAACAGGAAACAAGAATGGGAACCAAGGAAGTCCAGATGAAGCACAGTATTGAGAGCTAGAAGGAAGCCTTCAGCTTCTGGCTACATCCCCTTCCCAAATGATCATCTGTAGGCCCCAAGCTTATAACCCCTGCTTGGATAGGTGGAACCTCCTGCTCATAGGTCTGGGTCACACAAGAGATGGGCATTGGCCAGGGGGTATAAAGGGGCCATCAACAGAAGAAGAAGAAGGTAGCAGGAGGGGAAGAATGAAGGGGGGGAAATCGGAGGGGGAGACGAACCATGAGAGACGATGGACTCTGAAAAACAAACAGGGTTCTAGAGGGGAGGGGGGTGGGAGGATGGGTTAGCCTGGTGGTGGGTATTGAGGAGGGCACATTCTGCATGGAGCACTGGGTGTTATGCACAAACAATGAATCATGGAACACTACATCTAAAACTAATGATGTAATGTATGGGGATTAACATAAGAATAAAAAAAGGGGGGGCCATCAGGAAGGGGTTCATTTTGGCTATGATTTAAGGACAACCACACCTCGATTTCCCTCCCGGGATAGAATCCTGTGGCAACACTTGCCATCACCTAACATCTTTAGGGACTCCCTGCTCCATGCTGCTCCCTCCTCCACCCCTTGGCAGCCACCCACCAACCTTGGCATGCCCTGGGCCTCATCTCTAGCTCTTCTGCCACCTCCAAAGTTTTGACATTGTCCTCCCTCCCCCAGTCACCCTGGAGGCTCCAGTTTTAAATAATCAGGATGTAGCCCCCTAAACTCTGTGCTTCCTGTCTAGAGAGCCATGCCGGCCCCAGACACCTGAGGGGTCCTCATTACTCCAAGGCATGGTTGTTGTCTGACCTGCTCTTAACAAGGAAGGGTGGGTAAGGGGATACTGAGAAACAATTTGGGCTAAATACCAAACTTCTGAAAAAGAATTGTGCATGTCCTCTACCTACCTATCATCCATCTGTCTGTCCGTTTATCCATCTGTCCACCCATCCATCCATTCTTCCCTCCCTCCATCCACTTATCCAGGCAATATATTGTCATCCATAGAATGTGAGGCTTTCCTATTTTTTATACTAAAATTAGAAGAAAAATTATATTTTTTGCTTCTTCGTTTTCAGTCCCTTGCATTTTCTCACTGCATGTCCCAGCAAGCAAGCTCGAGTGGCGCACTGACCAATATTCTCCATCACAAGGCTATGTGCCTCTCCCACCAATAATCTGCGGAGCAGTGGCTCTCAACCAGGGGTGATAGTGCCCCCCTCAGGAGACATTTGGCAATGTCTGAAGACATTTTTGGTTGTTACCGCTTGAGGGGTGGGGAGTTGCTACTGGAATCCAGTGGGTAGAGGCAAGGGATGCTGCTAAACCTCCTACAGGGCACAAGACAGCCCTATGACACAGAATGATCCAGCCCCATTGTCAAAAGTGGGGAGGCTGAGGAACTGTGCTCAAGTGGGCAAAATGTCCCAGCCTGAGGCCCTCCAGACACAGGCTTGGGGCTGGGGGAGTGGGAGCAGCAACGGTGAATCTTCTCTGTGCAGTTGCTGCCGACGGGGGCTCCGGCTGTAGGGGGTGCCTCAGTGGGGGTGAGTGGACCCTTCAGAGCAGGGTTCCCACTTTGCCTCCTCTTTCAGTTGCTTAAGCTCCAGCCTTGAAGATGTGGGGCTGCTTCCTCAGGGTTGGATGAGAAAACATTTTCAGGGATGGTCTGTTACACCCAGCCCCTGAGCCTGAGCCCGCACGGTGTCCCCCCACCCCACCCTCTACCCCTACAGCAAGCTTCCTGCCCACCAGGGCCTGGAAAAGAAACTCCTGACTCCCAAGTGCACCGTAGGACATTCAGCAAAACCTCTGGCCCCTCTCCACTAAATACCAATAGCACCCTTCTCCCAGTGGCAAGAGGCCAAAATTGCCAACAGGCATTGCCTAACGTCTCCTGAGCAAACTCATCCTTGCTGGGAGCCAGTTTTGGAAGAAGAGGGTTTATTCAAGAGAACCTGGGATAGAAATTCCCAGGCAAGAAGGCTGAGCTGTGGGCTCCTGTCCTTGGAATGTCCTCTGTCCTGATGAGCGTGCCGTATTTTGCAGCTCTTCCTTTGTGGCGTCTCTTCCCTACCTGTCAATCTGAAGGGTGAGGGTGCTCTCCCCTATGTCTCAGCTGCCTCTCAGGTGCTGCTCGGTCCTCTCCCGCCCCGGGTTCTTTCTAGGATCCCACAGATGGTGCTTGCTCTATACCCATTAAGCCTCTGACGCTTCCTACAGCTCTGACTTGTAAAGATACTGCTTTTAGTAATCTTAAAAAAATAAATATAAAATAAAAGAGACCTCGGGTTCTCTGCCTATGAGTGTTAAGGGCAAGTAATTGGTGATACAGACAGATATATCTCCTTTAGAAGCAGGAAGCTGGCTTAGCTTGAGGTCTCTTCTGACCCTTGTGTGTATGCCCCCCCAGCTGGGCTTGTGGTGACTTGCCCACAGCATCTCTGTTGCTGGATGGTCACAGACTAGAACCCAGACTCATGTGTTTTCCCTTTGTCTGGCGTCAGTCTTCTTACCGGTCAACCAGCTCCTATGCATTTTCAGACTCAGGCTTACAGACCAATTGAATCATAACTCTCATTAATTACAGAAAGTCTCTAAATATCATTGAGATAAAAAGTAGGAAAAGAGGGGGGGGCGGAGCAAGATGGCGGAGGAGTAGGAGACCTGGATTTCGTCTCCTCTCAGGAATTCAGCTGGATAGGGATCAAACCATTCTGAACACCTACAAACCCAACAGGAGATCAAAGAAAAGAAGAGCAACAACTTTCTGAACAGAAAAGCGACCACTTTCTGGAAGGTAGGACGTGCGGAGAAGTGAATCCGAGGCGATATTCGGGAGGATAGACGGCGGGGGAGGGGCCTCCGTCGGCCGCTTCTGGCAAGTGATAGAGCCGCGGAGCACAAAATCGGAACTTTTAAAAGTCTGCTCCGCTGAGGGACGTCACTCCGGTGGCTAAGCGGGGGGTGGAACCCTCCGGGACAGTGTGGTCTCAGGACCTTTGGGGTCACAGAAAGACCGGGGGTGCCTGAGTGTGGCAGAGCTCCCAGGTAACGGAGCCGGGAAGCCGGCTGCAGAGGCGGAGCCCAGGCGCGGGCTCTCAGCTCGGGGTGGCCATAAACCGGGATCCGCGGCACCGTCGGGCCCCTGCTCCTCCAGCAGGGACCCAACAAGCGGCAGATCCGGGGAGACTCACCTTCCTCCCCCGGGAGGAGCCGCGCGGGAGTGCACCGCAGGGATCTGCTGGGTTTGGAGACTCCAGACCGGGTCGGGTGCCAGAGATAGAAACGCGCGGTCACAGGCCGGTTGAGCATGGAGTGCAGCCGGAGACCGGGGAGACGGGAGTGACTGACGGCTTTTCTCTGGGGGCTCACTGAGGAGCGGGCCCGAGTTCTCGGCTCCTCCGGGGCGGAGATTGGGAGGCCGCCATTTTCACGCTCCGCCTCCAAAGCTGTACGGAAAGCTCGCAGGGAACAAAAGCCCCGGAGAGCAAACCCGAGCAGATTACTTAGCCGGGAGGGGGCAAGGGCGGGGCAATTCCGCCTCCGGCAGAGACATTTGGAAACCACGGCAACAGGCCCCTCCCCAGAAGATCAGCGAGAACAGCCGGCCAAGACCAAGTTTACCGATCAATGAGAGCGGCAGAACTCCAGCGCTAGGGGACCACTGCACATAGAACTCATGGCTTTTTTACCATGATTCCTTAGTCTTTTAAAGTTAATTTTTTTTTAACTGTCTTTTTGTCTTTTTATTTCTTTTTGAATTTTTCTTTTTCCCTTTTTCAAACAACATCTTATCAATCCCTTTTTTTAAAAAAAAACATTTTTATTTTTCATTTTTAGAGTCATATTCTATCCCTTCATAGTAGTTACCCATATTTTTGGCTTATATATATAAGTTGTTCTCTCTTTAAAATTTTGAGATAGTTTCTTCTAACAGATTAAAATATACCCTAAATCTCTAGTATATGGTGTTTTCTATTCCCCTGCCTGATCACATCCTCTCCCTTTTTTTTTCTTTTTCTTTTTTCTTTTTTTAAATCTTCTTCTTTCTTTTTCAAACAACTTCTTATCAATTCCTTTTATAAAATTTTTTATAATTTCCATTTTTACAGTCATTTTCTATCCCTTCATCATATCAACCCTTATTTTTGTACATATATCTTTTTCTTTCTTTAAAATTTTGGGAGACACTTTCTTCTAAAAGACCAAAACACACCCCAAATCTAGTGTGTGGCACTGATCTATATACCATATAGATCATATTTGATCACATTCTGGTTTTTCTTTTGTTGTTGTTGTTTTGTTTTGTTTGTTTTTGTTTTTATCTTTATCTTTTTCTTTTTTTTTCTTTTTCTTTTTTCTCTCTTTCCCCTTCTTATCCCACTGCTTCAGGTCTTTTCTGATTTGTTTAGAGTATATTTTCTGGGGACGTGGTTACTCTGCTAGCATTTTGTTCTCTCATTAATCTATTCTCCTCTGCACAAAATGACGAGACGGAAAAAATCACCTCAACAAAAAGAACAAGAGGCAGT